TCTGCCGTGGACGCCTGAAACTGTGGGTATGAGGGAACCTGATATACAATATACAAGGGGTAGGACAAAAGCCACAAAGGGCATCCTTTGTTATATATAGGACTGTGGCAAACTGTGGATAAGTAAAACTGCAGTTAACAATCCTGCAAATACAGGGGTCCTACTGCACAGTGTCTTTTTTAAGGAATTACCGTATTTGCCTATGTACAAGACGACTGGGTGTAAGACGATCCCCCAACATTTCCCCTCAAAATATAGAGTGGATTACTCTGCTGTGGCGCCAGCTGCCCGGGGCTCTGCCCGGGCCTGCCCTGGAAGTTTATGGCTGGCGAGGAGGAGGGCGAGGAGGAGGGGAAGCAGCCGGGTGGGCGGCGGCAGCGGAGGAGGAGGGGAAGCGGCTTTCGGGCGGTGGGCAGGTGAGAGGGCAGCTGCCTCAGCGGTGCAGGGTGGCGGGGAGCCCGGCGGCAGGCTCTGGCCGCTCAGGCATGGCCGGTCTGCTTCCCTCCCTCTGTCCAGACCGACCACCTGCCCGCCTGCCTTCCTCTCCAGCCAGCGCGGCCCCGCGTCACTGACTCAACGGCGGTGGCGGCTCCTTCCTGGCCCAACTGAAGTGCACCCTGTGTATAAGACGACCCCCCCCCACTTGGAGGCATGTTTTTGGGCCAAAAAAGTCATCTTATATGCCGGCAAATACGGTACTGTTTATGTTTGCTTATATACTGGACATAGTGACATTTATTCTCAATTTTACTATTCTTATTTACTTTGTCTTACAGTTACTGTAGCAATAAATTTATATTCAAAAGTTATAATTTATAATTATTCATACTAATACAGTGATGCCTCGCAAGACGAAATTGTTTCATACTTGCGAAATTTTCATCTTGCGAGGCGCAGTTTCCCATAGGAATGCATTGAAATTTAATTAATGCCTTCCTATGGATGAAAAAACTCAGAAAAAAAAGTCTGAACAAAGTCACTTACAGTACCAGGTACTGTAGACCGAGCCCCGCTCCTCAACAGCCGGATTGTGTGACCAGAGCGCCGAATAGCTGAGAGGCTGCAGACATTTTGTGGTTGTCTCCACATTTTTTGCTGGGTCTCAGACGCTTCGCAGGGCTTGCCCAGGATGGACAAATTGTCTAGGGGAACCTTTACCTTTAGCTTACTGTAGACCGAGCCCTGCTCCTCACGATGCCTTGGTAGCCCCAGAACAGCTGGACCCTGTGTGACCAGAGCACCGAACAGTTGAGAGGCAGCAGCCATTTTGTGGTTGTCTCCGCTCCCCGTTTCTTAGCTGTTCGATGCTGGGTCTCAGAGGCTTCCTGGGGCTTGCCCAGCACAGAAAAAGGCAGGGGAAAAGGGTGGGAAATTCAAAAAATGGTACTTTTCCCCTGCCTTTTTCCGTGCTGGGCAAGCCCCAGGAAGCCTTTGAAAGTGGTGCTTGCCATGGGGGGGCGGCCCCCACTGCCAGCGCCGCTTTCAGAGTTCCATCACCAGTCCTCCAATGGTGCTGGGAGGACTGGTGGGGGACCTCTGAAAGCGGCACTGGCCACGGGGGGGCAGGCATGGCAACTGCTGCTTTCAGATGCTTCCCAGGGCTTGCCCAGCATGGAAAAAGGTAGGAAAAAAGCACCATTTTTGAATTTCACACCCTTTTCCCCTGCCTGTTTCCGTGCTGGGCAAGCCCTGGGAAACCTCTGAGACCCAGCGCTGAACAGCTGAGAGGCGGGGAGAAGAGACGACCACAAAATGGCTGCTGCCTCTCAGCTGTTCGGTGCTCTGGTCACACAGGGTCCGGCTGTTCTGGGGCTACCAAGGCATCGTGAGGAGCAGGGCTCGGTCTACAGTAAGGCAAAGGTTCCCCTACACAATTTGCCCAGTCGTGTCCAACTCTAGGGGGCGGTGCTCATCTCCGTTTCCAACCCATAAAGCTAGCGTTTTGTCTGCAGACAATGCTCCGTGGTCAAGTGGCCAGCGTGACTAGACACGGAACGCTGTTTACCTTCCCACCGAGGTGGTACCTATTTATCTACTCGCATTTTTGCATTTTGCATGCTTTCGAACAGCTAAGTTGGTGGGAGCTGGGACAAGGAACGGGGGCTCACTCAGTCACGTGGATTCGATCTTACGACTGCAGGTCTTCTGACCTTGCAGCACAGAGGCTTCAGCGGTTTAACCCGTAGCGCCATCATGTCGGTCTACAGTACCTGGTACTGTAAGTGACTTTGTTCGGACTTTCTTTCGGAGTTTTTTTTGCCCATAGGAACACATTAATTAAATTTCAATGCATTCCTATGGGAAACCATGGCTCGCAAGATGAATTTTTTTCGTCTTGCGAGTCACCAAAAAACTCGCAAGACACTTTCATCTTGCGAGTTTTTCCTTGCGCAAGGCATTCGTCTTGCAAGGCACCACTGCATTTGCTTCATTCTTTGCTATTGCCATGTTACTGAAAGTTTTCTGTGCCTAAAACTTACAAAAGTGATAAATATTTTTGTTTTTCCCTGAAAAAGTGATGGTTCTGTTTCTATCATGAGGAGATCTAGGCTTTTTAACAGATTGATTAGTGGAGTATGTACATAGAATAGTCAAAATTCTACTGGAGCTCATTTAAGGTATACATAATGTGAAAAAGCTAACTGATGAGGAACTGGGCCATGTGCCCAAGCATGCAACTGAGATGTGCCCTGGCACTCCTTAGTTAGCTGCAGCAAATTATGCAAATTTGTGAATACTGTACTATTAAGAATCTGGCTGCAAGATTACGAAGTAATGTCTTAAATTACTCTTCTGGGCCACATGTCTTCATACCTCAGAAGGTGCTGCGTTCTGTATGAAATGAGAAAGCAGTATTTTAGTAAACCAGACTTCTGGTTTACATTATGCCACTGCAGCATCATGAACCTGATAAAAGATGTTTCCACACACAACCACAGCAACATGGTTTGTTTCTATACCAATTTATGTGTTTTTTGTATCTATCAGTTAATATGTATTCCAAAAGCTGAAACACAGACAAAACACTCTAGTAGAACTAGACACAACCACAGCTTTGCTGAACTAAAAAGGAAATGCCATGCTAGCATTTCAAAATAAAGATTACATGAAATAATTTGTTGTAAAGCCTACCACAAAAAAAAATCATATCAAGTTAAATCTAGTAGTTTCCTACCTAGCATTTTGTCTTCAGAGACAAAAATAATGATGGTGAAGGGAAGCTTATACACTTCAGTGTTTACTTGCTTAACTTTGCTGTTTGAAAAGCTTTTTATCAGTTTATCTACACCACAGTAGTTTTAAATCAGATTAACCATCATAACATTGCCCCAAGGGCCCTTGGGAATAAACGTAAGGTTAGCATTAGGACAAATCACAGAAAGTCTCAACAGAAACCCTTATCTAAGAGAAAATGAAAAATACCAGTTTTTTAAGGAGTACGTATTGCTAAAAAGGACTATGTCCACCTCATTCCATCCCCAGTCCTGAAAGGAACTAAAGTGAATCACTGCTGCATTATTCCTCTCTCTCTCTGCCCACCTCCATGAAACACCAGCAAAGAAAATGACTTGGAAACAGCACACCACTTTCTTGGATTCTTTCTGAGTACAGTATTTGAAGACAAAAGAGCCAGTCCTGGCTAACCATGTACGTGTCTACATTTACTAGGAGTCAAAAGAAGTAAGGAACAAAGGAGGAGAGTTTTCATGGGCACCACACTAGCTGCTTCCAAATATTTGCCAAATGAGTTGTGCCCTGGGCACATCACACATCTTATACTTCCATAAAGGGAGCGAGACCCTAGGTTTGATCTTACAGCCTCTCCACCCTTCACTCTGTTTGACACTGAAGAGGCCATGCAGAAAGGGGAAAGGGAGGGAGCAACCACGAGGAAGAGAGAAAGGCTGAGAAGCACCAGTGAGGCTGGGAACAAAGAGCCCACGCTTCCTCTCTGGCCTGCACCCTTCAGTACACCCCCATCAAGAGCTGTGGGTGAACAAAAGCAATGAACTACTAGCGGGAACCACCGCGGAGAGCGAGCAGGCAAGGAGGAGCGCGCACGCACGCGCGCACACACACAACACGCGAAATGAGCAACGGAGGGATTACGAAGGTGCTGACAAGAACATTTCAGCCGAGGGGAGGCGGAGGGGACTTCAAGTCAAGAGCAAAGAATTGTGTCAGCCCCCACCCACCCCACCCCCAAATTAATAGACGGAAGACAGCATCTTCCCGCCCGCACGCCGCCCCCATTATTTTTGGCTTCGCGGCTGCTTGGCGGAGCAGGAAGAGGGGAGACTATATAGGACGGGGGAGATGTGTGGAAAGTACAGTAAATGAAAGCTACGGCTGGGAAAACAAGGCAGGGGGCTGGCATGGAGACAGGCTTCCTTCGACCCCCTCCCACCCCCACTCCCTCCCGGGTCGGACACCTGTGTGCGTGTGGCAAAGAAAAACAGTCGTGAAGAATTAAGCCCCAGAGGCGCCACCGCCCGCTTCCTTACTGGCGCCTCAGAAAGAGAAGAGTCTTCCCGCCCGCCCGCCGCCCCCATTATTTTTGGCTTCGCGGCTGCTTGGCGGAGCAGGAAGAGGGGAGACTATATAGGACGGGGGAGATGTGTGGAAAGTACAGTAAATGAAAGCTACGGCTGGGAAAACAAGGCAGGGGGCTGGCATGGAGACAGGCTTCCTTCGACCCCCTCCCACCCCCACTCCCTCCCGGGTCGGACACCTGTGTGCGTGTGGCAAAGAAAAACAGTCGTGAAGAATTAAGCCCCAGAGGCGCCACCGCCCGCTTCCTTACTGGCGCCTCAGAAAGAGAAGAGGGCGAGAGAAAGGGGGAGAACCGAGCGAGCGACCGACTGGCTCCATGGGCTCCGCCCCCACAAAGCGTTCAGTCCTAGCAGAGCCCCATCTGAGGAGAAAGGCGGGAAAGGGGGGGTTTGCCTCCCTTCTGTCTCCCCAACTTTCACCCCAACGTTTTCCCCTCACGCCGTTACCGTTGTGAGTAGCGGTCTCATCTGCTCCCCTGCCCGCTCCTCCTCCATGGTACGCCGAGGCAACGGCGGAGAGGAAGGGCAAAAACCCGGCACGGTGTCGCTGTGGTGCGCTTAACCGCCGGGCTACGTGAACTGGGGTGGGGGAGAGAGAGGAGGAAACGCAGGTTGCTTCGGTTGAAGGTGGCGGCGCTGAGGGGAACGAAAACTGCCACTCGGCCACTCTCGCTTTGCAATCGTCCGAGGCGAGCCGGCAATCTCCGCCTGGCCACGCCCTCTCCTCCTTCGGTGGCCCGATTGGCAGCCGTCCCAACGAATCAGAGGGAGAATGCGGCTCCACCTCTAGGCTGAGAGAACGTCGCTTAGGGCAGAGGAGGAGGAGGCGGGTGCCGCCTTCTCTGGTCTTCTCAGAGGCGGGTGCGCGGGANCGGCGCGACCTTCCTCTTCACGCAGGGGGAAACGTCCCCACCCTGACACGGTTCCTCTTACGTATTACTTAAGCAAGAAAAGCCCGAAAGGAAAGGGGCTTTCTTTCTTGAGTAGGCGCGCCAAAAACTGAGCCGCGTGAAAGGAAGGAAGCGGATAAGTCAATTAAGGAGGCTTCCTGGCGAGGGTTTTGACGTGCGTTCGCGGAACGGAACGGGGCTCCAGAGAAGACGCCGGCTGCCCCGTGGAACCCTCCCGCGTTTTTTTCCCCGTCCGTTTTTCTGTCTGTTTTCTTTCCAAAACAAACACAAAACTCACACACACACACACAAAACCAGGGTGAGGAGAATAAGGCGCAACCGCAAGGCTAACTTTAGCAGTGTAAATATGAGAGCCAGGGTCATACATCTCTCTTGTCATGCCCACAGTTGGGTTTACAGTCGCTCATTTTCCCAGCTCGTCTTCGCTACTTGCTCCCTAAAAAGTGGGCTTATTGAGCGTTAGGGCATTTAGAGGTTGCCTATATAGAACAAAGGGCAGAGCTATTCCCTTTTCTTTTTTTTATTGAATGAGTTGCCTTTGTTTCAGAAAGACAGGATCGAAAAAATGAAGGGAGAACGGCAAAAGGAAAGCGGCAACTACAACCTCCACATATGTCAGTAGAAAGCCCGGTCGTGAGGCTTTTTTCTTAGCATAGAACTGCCCTCCTTCAGTATACTGCTTTTTATGAGGGCTTTACATGAGTAATCTAGTAATCCTCTCATAGTGACGCTACCCCCAAACGTTTCTTTTTTTTTCTTGCCTCGAGGATCATTTTGAGACAGAGGGTTCTTTCTACTCATCATGAAAATATATTCACTGGCTATTCTTTTTCCATCACAGATTTTCCGTGGTAGACAAAAAGTTGGAAGAAATAGTAGGAAAACCTGAGAGGTCTGCAGATTGAAGGTGAGGTCATCTTCCTGCAAACATTTATAAAGGCAGTGCCTTTGCACACACTAATTAACTGGCTGGAGAGCTCAGTAGTTTAGGTATCTAGAGTTTGGGATTATGGTTCTTCCTGCCAGTAGAGCCAGCCTGTGTGGTCTTGGGCAAGCTTTTATTGTCCCCTGGTGCCCCTAGAAGAAGCTGGGAAAGCACACTTCTGAGTATTCTATAGAGAGGGAAAACCATGAAATAGGATCAGCATACTGTAAGTCAGAATTAAATTGATCACACATTATTTTTATTATTATTTGCACAGCAAAAGCCTTCTCTGCTGTTGTTGTTGCCACTGCTGTTGTTAGGTGTTGTCATGTTGCCTCTGATTTATGACAACCTTGTGAATGAGAGATCTCCAAAATGGCCTGTCCTGATCAGCCCTGTTGGCTCCCAAAAACTCAAACCTATTGCTTCCTTTAGGAAGTAAAGCTGTCTCATACTTGGTTTTCCTCTCCTCTTGCTGCCTTCAAGCTTTTCTAGCATGACTGTCTTTTCCAGAGAATCTTGCCTTCTCATGATGTGCCCAAAGTAGAACAACCACTGCTGGCACCCCAAAAATCCATTAAGGGTAAAGTATGGAATAGCTGCAAAGTATCTCTATTTCATTCACAGAATTTTACAAGAGCTTCTAGCAACACCATCCTCCACTCACTCTCCACATTATTTTTTTTACCACGATCTCCTTTTTTCCTTGCTAAAAATTAGTTAAAGAGAAAAACAGTAGCTACATTGCACCTTGGGGTTGCCAGGGTAAAGAGTCCTCCATTTGGAGCTTGCTGTATGTGGCCCCAGATAAGCTGACTCAGCCACTCAAGGTATTTTTAGGTGGAATACACTTCTCACTAGCAATTAGAAGACAGTGTGGGTCTTCCCCCCCTCCCCATTTTTCTAATAGAAAAAATATGGAGGTGGGGGGAAAGGGTTGCGAGTGGAGGATGGTACTGCCTGCATCTCTCATAAACTTCAGTGAATGACACAGGGCAGTGGGATGAAAAAAAAAGTCCTCTCTGGAAGAGCTGTTAGTATTCTGTGTTTAAAACAGGAATAAAACTGACTTCCTAGGAAAACTCTTGTGAATATAATGGGTGCTTCCGCATGAAGAACTCCTACTATTCAGAAGGCATTGCACAAAATATTCCTCCATCCTGGATATTAATTGTTAATAGTGTGGAGTATGGAAGTCATAGGAAACCATACGAGTATCACAAATGGAATACTGGACCTCTGAAAAATCTGTAATTGCAGAACAGAAGCCTAATCTAGAAGCACCTTATGTTTGTACAGCACTTAGAGTGGTTTAATTATCATTAGGAGATATAATAAATAGTATTATAAAATTTAAATAGCTCTTCTGTCTTTGAAGTTGGAATAATTGATGGATGTGTGTAGGCCTTTCTATCATGTCTAATCAGACTAAAGTGCCACTGAGTTTAGTAGCTGGCATTTATGCCTAAAAAAAGGAAGTGTGAGATTGTAGGCTTAGGAAAGGGAGTGTGATGAGGACAATGATAGTGGAAACAAGAAGTGTCTGAATATTTATATCTGAATCTTTCTCCTTATATTTTGAACTACAGCTCTCATAAGCCTACCTGGGCTAATAGAAGCTGCAGTGCAAAATACATGGAGAGTACAAAGTTGGTAGTGATACTTCCTTCGCTAGATGTGAGCAGTGGTTTTCTCCTGCTTTCTGGCCAGAGATTGTTGTAAGTAAAATTACCAAGTCAAAATGGCTGTCTGCATGCAGTGAACATGTTTTCTCAATGAAATGCATCTCCCATTTCCTTCCTCCCATAGTTCTTTCCAGCTGCCCTTAACCCTTACATTTTCAAAAACAAAAAAATTGGGGGTGGGTGTGGAATCTAATAAACAGCATACTTGAATGATTAAAGAGAGAGAAGACTGATAGTTACCTGTTTAAGGAAATTATATCAGGTTTATATTAATCATTCAATGGTACATTTAGACTATAATTCTGAGGCTCTTAGGATAGTGTCCCTGGTCAGTCCCCCTCCTTTGAGGTTGAAGATGCATGCTCAGTGTATGGGGGATGTGGATCCAGTCTTAGATCACCAATTCCCTCTCCAGAGTAAAAGGTCTGACCTAGAAGGGAGGCAGAAAAAGTGGGCTATTGAGAGTATGCCACTGGCAGAGATTGGAGATATTGGATGTAAACATCAGTCTCATCATGGGCCAACACTATGTTCCCAACATAGTAAGATTTAGACCCGTTTTGGAGCTGATCTAAATATTTATCTTCCATTGCCTGCAAAACTTTACGTATTTATTTATTTTAAGCAAAACTGAGAGGAAAGGAATGATTTTTGCCCCTGCTGGCAGGATGTGTGCAGTGCTTAGGAAATGCCAAGGTTGTTGAGAGCTACAGGGGCTTCCCATTTGTGTGTGTGCGGGGGTGGGGAGTAGACCTTTAGTTTACTCAACATGATCAATGGATAAACAAAACTTCGAGGCAAGTGTTTTGAATCCAAACCTAGTGTTTGCATGACACAGCAGTTTGGTTATTTAAGTTATAAATCATACCTCTACAGACTGTGCGTAGAGGATGATGTATAAGAAAAACATTAGAATGTCACAGGGGAAGGAAGCAAAACAGCCAGAGGAGCACAAACCTCATGCAGTACAGTAACATTTAAGAGCAGTATTAGAATTAGTCAGTAGCAGAACATTGAATAATAATACAAGTATGACAGAAGAAAATATTTAATGGCTATAAAGCAATATCAGAAAGGAATTAATTTCACTGCCTTCAAGTGTGAGTTCCATAGTTAGGATGCTGGTACCAAAGCATCTCAATACCAGAATATATTTACAGGATCATGTTTATCTGGTTTTGCTACAAGTGTAGCTGGGTCTATAAATACAGTACCTAAGTATTGTATCACCTAATAAAGATCATAACTAATTACATCTATCTTACAATTTAAGGTATTATTTGTAAGTATTTCTGTAGAAACAACATTACACAAGACAACACTCTTTTCTGTCTTTCCCATGACAGTCCGTTCTGGAAGATTGTATTCTTCCCACACAGACTCCTTCCACTGCTCCAGGGAGTGATGTCACTCCCAGCTGCTACACAGCTAAGTTAAAAATGACTTTGGACAGCATTTTGGCTTGGTACCAATGTCCCTATTTAATATATGTCTATTCTCTAAATGGTTTAAATGCTTCTAGAATTAGTGCTTCCACTTTAATACCATCAGGTCCCTCTGCCCATTAACCTTTCTAGCACTCATTGAAAATTCATCATTCTGTTAACATTTATTGAGAGTTATCTGCTGGTATGGATGGTTAGCATGCCGCTGCTATTGGCCTATAGCGATGACGAAATTGGAATTCCTCTTCACTGTCTCAATAATCTCTTTAATTTCTACTTTCAAACAGGTTCCAATAAACTGATTATTTGTTAATTTATTTCACTTATATCATACAAATCCTCCAAGGCATTTGGGACAGGCTTTATAAACTTACGTTATTCTATTTTATTTTCCCCACAACTGTGAAAGATTCAGTTGACAAAAAGTGAGTCATCAGCCCAAAGTTATCTATTGAGCTCCATGACAGAGTGGTTATAGAATTCACTTTCACTTTTCCATAACATGGGGGTGGGGGGGGGAGAGAAATGGATGACCAGTTAGATTTGCTCTTATCAACAAATAAATTATCAAGGTGTGGAGTGTCTGTGATTCTTTAACTCACAGCAAACACAGTATGAAAGCACAGGCATACTGTATATAACAAGAACCAAATAAATGTACAATCTAATGTATTGTGATACCGTAAAGACTAAGCTTTATTTCAGTTTGAACGTTTATAGATTACATTTCCATTCCATAAATACACAGAGTAAAATGTTTAACTACAGGTTTATAAATATACATGTATATGAAGGTATATGAAGTCACAGATAATGATTTTTTTAAAAAAAAGTAGTATAAGTAATGAACTTTGAGCATGCTAATTACAT